GTGTCATAAATACAAACTCTGAATGCAGCGCTTGTCTGTTGAACATCGATTTTGTCAGAGTTCGTGTTTTGTGTGTTGATCGATGTTGTAGCTTGCTTTGAGCGGCGATTAAAAGTTGAGTTTATGATTGCTGAGCAACCAAGCACCTCAATTTTCAATCCATTTATGTGTTCGCTTAACTCTTTTGCAGTGCATTGTTGGTCCAATCGACCAACGTAAAAAACTTTTCTTTTTGGCGAAGGTTTCATCGCTTTCAAATTTGTTTGTTTATCAGTTTGGGTGCCTATAACTGTTTTCATATTTGCTATGTTAGTGTTGTGTGTTTTTTTCTTTGTTTTCAACATGTTGATGTTCGCCACGTGTTGAACATTCGCCACGTGTTGAACATTCGCCACGTGTTGAACATTTGCCACGTGTTGAACATTCGCCACGTGTTGAACATTCGCCACGTGTTGAACATTTGAGCTCTTTTTAATTTTACGTTTTACAATCTCTGACCAGTCAGATTGCTTGCTCGATTCGGTCTTGCAATCGGATTGCTGCTTTCTTTCTACTTTTGGCCTATTGTTAATAGCCGCATCATTTACTATTTCTCGGAAGATGTTTCTTTCTTCAATAAATAGTTCTTCTAATTTTTTTAACTTTTCGTCAAGAATTGACTCAAATTTAGCTTTTTTTGAGCTTGGAATTTTAAAAAGGTTGAGAGCAGCATACTGAGGCAATTTGCTTTCAATTTTGTTGCTCAGAATTGTTTTTATTGTTAGTATTAAATCACTAACCTTGTCCTTTTTAGAGTTTCCAGAACTGTTTGGCTTTATTTTATCATCTTTTTCTAGATTTAACGCATCTAGATCGCTGGTAAGTATTTTTTTTGCTATTCTAATATCTTCACAATTGTAGAAATCCATTATTTCGTAAATGAATTCCGCATCATCAATTTTGTCAGAATTATTAAATAAATAACACAATAACTCGTTAATGCAAACCGCTCGCGACATCGTACCGGAAACAGTTATATATATATATGTATTGACTTTAATAAATTGTTAAACTAGCAAACTCATTATTTTGCATCATGCTCGCGTTTCTATTTTTTACTACATGCTACCACAATTTTTCAGCCAAGCCAGCTGAACATTTCTACTAACCAGAAGACCAATTTATCGAATAAACACATTAAAAAATTTTTTTTTAATTTATTAAACAAATCAGTCAGCTGTTCATTTTGAATTAACATTAATCAAATCAGGCTTTCAATCGTCGTAACTGATCTGCTCTTTCCAAAAGATTTTGAGAGGCAGATTTCTCAGTAGGCTGGTGTTTAAATTCAGGAGAATCACTAGGAAAATCTGTGATGTTGTGTTTGGGATTTTTATTGAGGTAAGGTGTCCACACTCCTTGGATACTGGGCGTGTCTGTTCTCCAGGTCTTCACCAGTCTGTGCTCACTGGAGCCAGATATGTTCTTTAGGTGTTCCACCCACTGGCATATTTCTTCGACTGACTTGTCAGATATTGGAATCTTTTGCTCGTTGCCATTTACTGTGAAAAGAAGTATGGTGTTAGTTGCTGTGGTTTGCAGAATGTTGAAATATTATTTAGGTCTCTCATTGTATTATAAAATTTTATAGAGTATTACAGAGCTGCAAATATTGCAAGCATAAAAAT